GAGGGAGCAAAAGCGAGAGGGAGAGGGAGAAGCAGGCTTCCCGCTGAGCAGGGAGCCTGATGTGGGGCTCCATCTCAGGACCCTGGGATCATGACCTGAGCCGAAGGCAGACGCTTAACGACTAAGCCACCCAGGCGCCCCAAACTAAATGTATTTTAAAGATAAATTCTAAACTTTACTGCATCCATTTTCAACATCCTACTTCTCTAAATATTTGAAGATTGGAAATTTTTTAAAGTTATGTTCCTCTATAAGCCTGTTCTAATAGAGATGTTAAAGGATTTGAGAAGCAGTAATGCGCACATGTATATTACTTGTTTTCAAAGAAATAAACCACAGAAACTGATCTTTGTACCTTAGTGGAGTTAGAGGGAGGCTGTCTCCATACAGTTTGGGTGGGGAAGGGATGGAAAGTTGAATCCATGAAGGCAGTTGGTCAGTCCACAACCATTTTTAGCTCCTCAGCCAACAGGATTTCTCCATTGTGCTGGTATTTATCTATGGACACTAGCTGATGTCTAGAGGGGAGGGGCAAGAAATGACTTTTCCACAGTAAAGATGAGAGAGGCAAGAATAAGACTAAAAATAAGATTTTTTAATCCATTCTATCCTCCCACTGCTACCTCAGGCTGCACTTTGCCCCAGTGGCTTTCGCCATCTAGCTCCATAACACAAACCAGTTTTAAGACAGCCTTAAGTCTCACTGTTTTTTTTGTGCTTCTGTTTGTTAGGTTTCTGGAATTCCTGTTTTTCTCTTAATTCTGTGTCTTTTTCAGACTGATTTTGAGAGAGGGAGCCAGCAACCCATGCTAATTTGCCAAGAACAACTACTTCATAATTCATTTATTATGTTTAACCGTCTTGCTTTGTCCTATTTGTTTCTTTTTTATCTCCTTGTCACTTTTTGTATTGATTGGTTTCTCTCTCTCTTTCTCTACCCCTCTCCCTCCCTCTTCCCTCTCTCTGTGTCCCTCTCCTTTCTTCCTTTCCTTATTATATGCTCTATTTCTACTTCTTTCTTCCCTTCCTTATTATATGCTCTATTTCTACTATTTTAGTAGTTTCCCTAGAAATTTTAACATGCATACTTATCTCCACAAAATCCACAGTGAATAATTACCTTTATTTTCCTCTTAAGGGACAAAAGAATCTTAGAACACTTTAATTCCAGTCATCCCTTTCTGTGTTACATCCTGTTTTTATATTTAGTTTAATTCTATTTTTTAACTTTTCTAAAGTTAGCATTTGTTTATATACTCATGTCTTTGCTACTGTTTTTGCTGTCTTTTCCTTCTTTTGGTTCAGACCTCCCAATTTAAATCACTTTCTTTTTTAAAGATTTTATTTATTTATTTGAGAGAGAGAGAATGAGAGACAGAGAGCATGAGAGGGAGGAAGGTCAGAGGGAGAAGCAGACTC